AAATGCTTTTTTTCTTGCATCTATTGAGATGATCATATGGTTTCTGTCCTTGGCTCTGTCAATATAGTGTATTACACTTATTGATTTATGGATGTTGAACCATCCTTGCATCCCTGGGATAAATCAGACTTGGTCAGGGTGTATGATCTTCTTGATGACCCTCTGTATTCTGTCTGCCAGTATCTTATTGAGAAGTTTTGCATCTATGTTCATTATGGAGATTGGCCTGTAGTTCTCTTTATTGGCTGGGTCTTTCCCTGGTTTTGGAATCAAAGTAACACTTGCTTCCAGGAATGAATTTGGAAGTGTTGCTTCCTTTTCAATTTCATTGAAGAGTTTAAAGAGTAATGGTAATAGTTCTTCTCTAAATGTCTTGTACAATTCAGCAGCGAAGCCATCAGGACCTGGGCTTTTCTTTGTTGGTAAATTTGTAATTATGTTTTCAATTTCACTAATTGTAATTGGGGTGTTTAGAATTTTTATGTCTTCTTCGTTCAACTTTAGTAATTCATGTGTATCTAGCAATCTGTCCTTTTCTTCTGTGTTTTCCATTTTATTAGAATACAGGTTCTCAAAATAGGTACTGATGATCCTCTGGATTTCTGCTGGTTCTGTTGTGCCTTCACCTTTTTATTCCTAATTGCATGGATTTGGGCCTTTTCTTTCCTTTTTTTGATAAGGTTGGCTAAGGGTTTATTGATTTTATTTATTCTTTCAAAAAACCAACTCTTCATTTCATTGATTTTTTTGTTTTTTTGTTTTTGTTTTTGTTTTTTTTGGTACTGGGGATCGAACTCGGGTCCTCACACTTGCAAGGCAGTTGGCGAAACCACTGAGCTAAATCCCCGGCCTTCACTGATTTTTTTTGTATCATTCCCTTAGTCTCCATTGCATTGATTTCTACTCTGATCTTTATAATTTCTTCCCTTGTATGAGCTTTGAGTTTGTCTTGCTCTCCCTTTTCTAGGAGCTTGAGGTTCAGCATTAGGTTTTTTCTATTTGAGCTCACTCTGTTTTGCTAACATGAGTATTCCCTGGTATAAATTTCCCTTTCAAGACTGCTTTCATTGTGTCCCATAGATTCCTGTATGTTGTATTGGCATTATCATTTAATTGTAGAAAGTGTAAAATTTCTTCTTTAATTTCTCTGTGACCCATTGGTTGTTCAGGAGAATGTTATTCAGGTTCCATGTGTTTGTGGGAGTTTTGTGGTTTCTTATGTTATTGACCTTCAATTTTATTGC